CTCTCCGGCCCAGGGCGGGGGTCTGCGCGGGGTCAGTGGGTGCGCTCGGACGCGAGAGGTGACAAAATGCCGGTGAGGACCGAGGGTCGCGGACGCCGGGGCCTGGAGCTGTCAGCAGCAGTCATCGGGACTGGGAGAACTCACGTGTGCCACCTGCCCCTGCCTGGAGCCCCAGCAGAAACGGGCGGGTAGAGCAGGTTTCATCCGGCCCAGGGCGGGGGTCTGCGCGGGGTCAGTGGGTGCGCTCGGACGCGAGAGGTGACAAAATGCCGGTGAGGACCGAGGGTCGCGGACGCCGGGGCCTGGAGCTGTCAGCAGCAGTCATCGGGACTGGGAGAACTCACGTGTGCCACCTGCCCCTGCCTGGAGCCCCAGCAGAAACGGGCGGGTAGAGCAGGTTTCAAACCTAGCCTCGGGCGGGGAGTAGCAGGCACCGAAGTGAGGAGCAGTCCGGGAGAACTGGACACGTGGGCACCGCTAATGGAAGGGTTCCTAGGAGGTGGTTGAACTCCAGGACATCTCCAGACCAGGAGAGAATTTAAACTCATCCAGAGCCCCTATTCCCCATCCCATGCTAGAGTGTTTTTGAGAATCCCAAATAGCACCCTAATAATTTGATGAACCTATTTGGACAGCTCTTCCAACAGTGGGAAGGAAAACCATTCTTTTCAACAAATTTGCTTATAGGTTGAAGGAAACAGCTGTCCCCCAACTTACCTCCAACTTACCTAATTTTTGGCCAGCTGTTAAGATATCTGAGTCTTGTCTTCACTAATTTCACTCCTTTCAGTCTTTTCTGTTAGGCTGTGGACTCTGATCGCCTCTGAGCTTTAGTTTTTCCATTTCTCCTGTAGTTAAAGAAGAGCTTCTTAGTGTGAACATGGGGGCAAAACTTTGTTTCTCGGGGAAGGAAGCTCTTGGCCTCAAAGATGGATCCACTTAAATAAGTACTCTGCCTTCCTCATTTCTGTGCTGTGTTTCAACTTGAAGGAAAAAAAAAAGTTCTTAGTAGTGTCTGTTCATATGAGCTAAAAGATCTTATTTTGTGAAAAAATTTCAGGTCTTCTCTCCTTTTAAAAATGTCTGAACATTTTATCAAATGAACCAATGTATATAAAAACGTTTATAAATACAATGTGCTATGCAAATAAAATAGCTTATTATTTTTACTCTGAAAAGGATTGAGACCTACTTTGATGCCAAACTGCAATTTAATATTTGGTTGGAGAGGGAAATGCTTTATTACACCGAATTCTTTGCTGTGTTGCTAACTGCCAGCAGAAGGCCCCAAATTACTATGAAAAAGAACACTTTTTGTTGCTCACTTAACAGCATTAGTTTTTGCTTGCTTTTTTTTTTTTTTAACTTAGCCTTAGTGGTACAGAGGATTAAAGTTTTTAAAGGAATCTTTTCCAACTTATAAACTCCTGCCTAGGCAACCTTGTAGATTAGTGATTTCTTAAGCTCAGTAGAGATGTGATGGCCTCATAGATAAAATGCTAAACTCTTATATCTGGGTCTCTATTTAAATTCTTAGAAAAGTTTTACTGTTTTTATAACCTAGGCAAGCACATAACAGGAGTTGGAATTGGTTATATTTCTTCTTGTGTCTTCATTTGTAAAAATTAGTTCTTGAAGTTTGTAGTATATATATGCCAAGTTTTGATTTCTGGTATGTTTGTGCAGTGGTATTTCCCCTTTATGTAAGTTGGGTAAAATATTTGTATAGCACCATTCTGTACAGAACTGTACAGGTCCAGAAAAGGCTCTGAACACTTCAAAGGACTTGGAGTTGTAGGTCAGTGCTTCTGTGAGAGAGCACTGGTGTGCACATTCCATTGAAAATTTAAATTTAGCACATTCTAATCTTTACACTTATATACCTGCTATTTTTCAGGCATTATGCTATGTGCTGTGCTTAGTTGAGTATATACAGATGAGTAAAGGACATTTCCATTCCTCATGAAACTAGCAAATTAGATGTTTAAATAAGTCATCTTGGAATAAAAGGTAGGAACTGCCCGTATGATACTGTAGTTGTCCAAAAGTGAGGACTCCCTAGACTAGTCTAGAAGGAAGGCTTTAGGAGAAGAGATGATATCTGACCCAGATATTTAAATGGTCAGTAAGAGAAAACTAGGCAAAGATGAGTAGAAGGTGTGCTTCAAACAGAAAACATCTTGAACAAAAGAAGTGTAAGAAAAAGAATGGCTTCCATAAAGAACCATAGCAGTTGGGACTGCTGAGAATATGACAGTAAAGCTGTATGTGGTAAATTGTGGGGCCGAAAATAACAGAAGCCATATCATGGTGAACTTTGTATGCATAAGTCTTTGAAAATTAATTCAAATTGGTGATTTTTGTTTTAGTCGCTAAAAAAATGATCATATATAGTTGGAGTAACATTTTTAAAGTGGTTCTAGAAATGAAGAGAAAAAATGAATCTGAGAAAATCAGTGAGGTTGGTTGTACCAGCTGAGAAATTGAGAAGACTAGTGTGAAGCTTAGGTTTTGGCTTGGATTAGTAGGAGAATGGTGGTAATATTAACTGAAACAGGAAACTGGGTGATTAGTTATTTTAGACTTGAAGATTTTGTGATTTCTTTTTTGGAATGTTCAGTAACTTTTTATTATTTTAGATTTTTATTGGTACAAATCCCATAATGATTACATTCATCATGGGAAGTTGGTACATGTACATAATACATCATAATTTTTTTATATCCCCCCCTTCCAATCAAAGAACAAATGTAGTAGAAGGAGGCTGGGAGAAAAGATTGTGGTCATAAAGTAGAATATTGATATATTATTTTTAATATGAAGTTAAGTTTCCTGATCTTAGGTGATAGCTAGATCTCTGTGTGAGTAGCTGAAATACAGCAGAAGTGAAGGCCAGTGAAACTGAATATAAGAAACTGTAAGGCTAGTGT